TTTAATATCTTACAATAGATATAGGTTATTCAGGAATTTTTATCATTGAGTTAGCAGCTAGTGTACACGCACGCAAACACCGTGCTGAAGTCTGCCGAGTGCCGAAGTCTGCCGAACTAAAACGACGTTAGACGATGCACGGCTTTCAACGCCGCACCTCCGTGCCCGTCGGAGTGGGGAGCGTGAGGTTTTTTTCGTTACGGAATTTCTGGATTCGGTCCCCGCGCTCAAGGCCCGCGATAGAAGCTATGCAATAGCTTAAAAAATATTCATATGTTTATTTATGCAAGTCCTATTGCCGTGTAGTAGTGGTGTTAGAATATGCGACAGAGGGAGACTGAAATAAGAGATGGGCAGAAGCGTCTTCCTAATTTTCATTATCATTACAACCATTCACAAGTCCAATGCTGAACAAAGGCCTCCCTCCAAGGAATGCCACAAAGCACGGTCCTGAGCCACCTGCATCCATCGACTTCCTACATGTCTTACCAGGTTGTCTTCCTAATAACAGATCAAAATAGTAATCTACGCTCCCTAACGCATCATATATGCCCCTATAAGGCATCTGTGAACTTCTTGATAAGAAAATGTTTTTTCTGTGAAATCTTTTTTCTGTGAGTGTAGGTGAATTGAGTAGTACACATTTTAGACATCTTAGATGTAAATATATTTTAAAAAATAGTTACAGTTTGAATTTTAGGTTTATTATTTATATGTAATTTCTACGCTTTTTTTAAGTATTTTTTTTGACTTTATTTTTGGAACTGAAAGGTTCACTTATGGAGATGTCAAAGTCATTCCAAAGTCAATGATAATTCGGGAACTGCAACAATCTAGTTCTGCTGCCACAACTTCATCTTCCCTACCAGGTGATTTTAATGCTTTTAGAAAATTCATCTTGGCTGCTTTAACATCTTTGCATAACCAAGTAGATCTTCTGGGAAGAGAACTGGATCATAGTGAAATGCGTCGCCGCAGAAAGATGATCCTACTCCATAGAGTTCCTGAAAAAAAATCTGAGGATTCTACCGCCGTCATAAGTACACTTACCAGCACGAAACTCCTAGTCCCAGGTTTCAGTAAAACATCCATAAGCCGTTGTCATCGTCTGGGACGCCCTTCCGATAAATCTTCCAGGCCTGTGGTTATCAAATTCAGCGATACTGTGATGCGAGACAAGGTTTGGTACTCCAAAACTAAACTTAAGGGCACATGTATAACCCAGTCTGAGTTTCTAACAAGGAGGCGCCACAGTGTTTTTCTAGAAGCTAGATGAAGGTATGGCATCACCAAATGTTGGACCAGGGATGGAGTTATCAATATTTTTACTCCATATGGCACAAGACACAAACTTGAGACTTTGTCTGAGCTTTACGCATTATGCAACGGGTCAACTCCTGCTTCACCCGTTTATCCTATTGTGGTTGAAGCAAATAAGGCCCCCGAAGATAAAGGTGCACCACAGCGTACTAAGAGGGCCCGTAAAAAATGAACTTTTTCTTAAATAATTTTATTTTATATTTTATTAATTTTTGTAATTCTGTTATAACTTTTTTCTGGACTTCATATTTTAGTTTTTTTTTATCATCATATCTTCATTAGTTTTCCTTGTTAATTGTAGATTAGATAGTAAAATGTAATGATTAATAATCTCTCTTTGGAATGTTTATTATTTAGTGTTATAATTTTTCTTGTATGTTGGTAATTGTTATTGTAATCTTTCTTTGGAATGCTTAGTATTAGTGATAAAAGTATATTGTAAGGTAGATATAATTGCTAGTTAACGTACTGTAACTTTGACACTTTGACTCATAGAGTAGAGTAATATATACAGAATAGAGAGCCATCTCCTAGGATTTTTTGTCACCCAATATGAATAGTGTCGCCGTCTGGTATCATATCCCTTGAACTAATCTCAATATCATGTTGACTATAGATAGCTGTATGTAGTTATGTATATACAGCTATCTATACTATAGGCGGTTATATTTATATTTTAAGGGGAAGGGTTGCTAACTCTGAGGGCATAGACTTATCTATGCCCGTCAACTTAAGAATCCTTTCCGAGGCTGAAACATACCGATACCTGGGTATGTCACAGAACATCGGTATCGATGAGGCTGGTATGAAACAGTCAATTTGCGACATATATTATGCACGCTTGACCAAAGTACTTAACAGCCTTTTGTCCGGTGTGAATAAGGTACACGCATATAACGGCTGGGTCATGCCTGTCCTCATGTATACCTTTGGCATACTCAGGTGGACTCAGACTGAACTTAACTCCCTCGATAGAAAAGTCCGCACTACCATGACGTCCCATAGGATGCATCATCCGAGATAGTCGGTAATAAGGCTGTACTTGCCGCGAAAGCATGGTGAGCGCGGCTTCCTGAGCGCACTCACCATGCATAATCGCGAAGTGTGCAGCCTCCGTAATTACTTCCTCGCGAGATCGGATGAACCATTCTATAATGACGTCATTTCTAGTGATAAAGGGCTTACCCCTCTATCCTTAGCCAACGAGCAATTGCAGGACCCGGCAGTACAAAGCATTTCCGACCGGGAGACCGTATGGAACGAGAAGGAGCTCCACGGGAGGTACTACAGGGCTCTACATGAGCCCTTCGTAGATACAGTCGCCTCCCTCAACTGGCTACGTTTCGGTGATCTTTTCGGGGAAACCGAGGGTTTTGTCTGTGCAATACAGGATCAGGTTATTAAGACCAACAACTATCGGAGATACATCCTAAAGGATTGCACCGCCGACGTCTGTCGAGATTGTCGCCATCCCGGTGAGTCACTTAGGCATGTCATCTGCGGTTGTTCGGCGCTTTCTAACTCTGAGTACTTACACAGACACAACCTAGTAGCCAGAATTCTACACCAGGAGCTCGCTCTGAAATACGGTCTCGTGGACCGGAAATTGCCGTATTACATGTACTTGCCGGAAGCCGTGGTCGAAAATGAGCCGCGCCAGGCTCTACTGGGACCGGGCCATCATCACAGACAGGACTATTCTTGCGAATAAGCCTGATATTGTGCTGATGGACCGGGCACAGTCGAGGATATTTTTGATCGACATTACCATTCCGTATGACGAGAACCTCGTGAAAGCCAAAACAGATAAACGAACAAAATATCTGGACCTGGCTCACGAGGTGACCGACGTGTGGGGTGGTCTGCCGGCCGAAATTATTCCTGTAGTCGTCTCTGCGAATGGGCTAATCCCAGTCAGCCTCTCGGGGCATCTGAGGCGACTAGAACTCCGTGACGGACCGCTCCGAACTCAAATGCAGAAGGCGGTGCTCCTCGATACCGCCCGCATCGTCCGCCGGTTTCTTTCCCTTTCCTCCTAACCCTCGGCCGTTTGGTCTCCCCTGTCGAGGGCTTCCATCTGGTTGGGCTTTTATTTATTTATGTATTTTTTGTATTTATTTTATTTTATTGATATTTATGTATATTTATCTTTTCATTTTAACTTAAAATTATATATTTGTAGAACCCAACCAGATTTGAAAATTATATAGATATCCCAATAAACAACTTGACGGATATAACAATTTAGAAGTATGTGTACTAATAGATTATAGTAAAAAAAAAATAAAAAAAACTTTCATTATGCTGTATTTTGTGGCGTTTTAGGCACACTCAGCTTATGCTGTTGCCGCAACAACAGCGCTGGTTTTCAGAAGTTTTTGGAAAAATCCTATCTCTAGCATTGGAGTTAAGGGCCTATACCACCTCAGCTCAAATTCTAATTTCGTCCCCACTTTCCCGCGCGTCGTATGATATGTACCAACATGTTTGTTATCACTAATACTGTAAGTAGATAGGTCGTTAGATACTTATTTCATTAGGTTTATCATATTTATGCCTGTTTCTTAACGCCAACCCAGTCGCTTCTTATTTTTATTACGGTTATTTACCATATTAATTTTAAGTCGTCCTGTTGCGTATTGTGTATTCTAATCATAAGCGACACAGCTTTTCCGTTCGAAAGCTGTAGCAAGACTGTACGGGCCGAAAGGGACAAGATTCAAGACGCCGATAGTTTAGGCAATTTCTTTTTATAGTGAAGATAATGTTAATTTTAAAAAATAACATAAGCCCTGCTTTATAGTTAGTTCAGTTAGTAGTCAATGTTAGTTTCATGATCTAATTTAAAGAATTTTATGAATACCAGCGGTTTATTATTCAGTTTGGAGGAAACTTTGGATTTTTTTTCTATCGAGAAAATTTTATGGAATCGCGTTTTCGTTTAATATAGTACTTAACATTAATCCTCAACTTTACCATATATTTATTTCAAAATTAATACTGCACTATTTTTGGAATAACGGAGGATCTTGCTAAGCCTTTTGAGGTAGTATAGGCCCTTAAAAGGTTTTTAATGTGTGATGTATGATACGAGTATCACCGTCCGAAAGTGTAGTCATTATGTAAAACCACGTCACTGTGTCAAAGGCATCTCTAATTATTTCACATAACCATTACTTGAATTTAAGTAGTTTTTAGGGCGAGAGAGTGCTTCTGTTTTTTTATGTATTTATTTATATCAATGTCCCTTGTTGTTATCTTCAGAAACATTCGTATGTTAATGCCATAATCTAAGTAATGGAGATGTTTTATATAATCTTGTAAATATCGATGTTATGGATTATGTATCGATAGTTGAACATTTAACAAAAAGAATAATCATTCAATATAAATCTATCAATCATTTGAATGACTAAAAGAAAGCGATATTTTTGTCTATTTTTCTCTAACTACTACATATTTTTATTGTTCACAGATATGGCATTATCGTAGAAGACAACAAAATGGCTACAACAAAACTGAATTGTGATTTCGACGCAGATACAAAAAACGGAGATAATAATTTAATCAATTCAAATATAAAACAAATCTATAAAACTGTGATAGAACGAACAGAGTTAGATTCTATGGATATAAACATAGATGCTGATAAAAGTTATTGTATAGATTGTACAAAGAAGATGAGGATCGATGATAACTGTAACGACTGTAATCGCCTATCGGAGATACAACAGTTTTACAATGGAAAGAATGTACTCATCACTGGAGCTACTGGTAAGTATTCCTTTTTTTTTACAAGTGCTATTATAAAAGAGGCAGCCAAACTTAAAGGCCTGTTACACTACACCGAACTTAGTAACCTAATTAGGATTCAGGAAAGGAAACGGTAACAAGACTTAAGACGTTTAGGATTCCAATTAACTATTCAGAAAGGTAGGCCCACCTCGTAAACAATTAATAACAAATATTTTTTACCCAATACCCACCTTTTTACATTTGTTATAATTTATTTTAAAGAGCATGCCCTTTTTATTTTAGAACAAAGTAGTCGTCACTGTGAAACGCAAACGTTTGTACTCAGACTGTGTTAGGATTCTGAATAGCTTGCTTTCTTTAAGGCGATACTCCGACCAAAACTTTGCGATAGTTCGTTTTTGAGAGACTATTATCTCATTAATTATGAGAAATAAACTACATATAAAAGCACATTTTTAATGTTCGATATCCTATCATCACATTCCATGTTTTAATTTGTTTTGTGTGTTATAAATACATTTAAAATCTACTTTTAAAAAATGACTAAAATTATTGATTAGAGCGTTGATGCGCAACGCAACGCTCTTATCATTTGAGGATTACAATAATGGATAGATAAATTAAAAATTTATATTATTCACGTTTTATTAAATTTCTTAAGTTCACTTTCTTTTTTAATTGAAATAATTCCAAAAAATTGGGCCTATTTCTTACGCAATATATTTTTTTTAATTATATTTTATATATTTGTAGCGAGAGCACGTGAATTGTTTATGACCTAATGCTCAAGGTCGTTCGCTAGGAAAAGCGCCTTAATGTATTTTTGTTAGGCTCTATCAAATATAAATATTAAGAAAACAGGAATGATTATTATCATCATCGTTAGAGCCTGTCAAAGTCCACTTGCCTCATTTTCTCAGTTTAATATTTGCTATAGCTGCCACACTTGGCAGCGGGTTTTCATGCGCATTTTTTAGAAAGATGCTGCTACCTTATGCTTCTGCTATCTCCCGGTTTGTTTCCCTCTGGTGCTTCTTACAATACCCACATAATGATATGGGATAGTGGATATTCTTACACCAAGATCGGATAAACTAGTCTATCCTAATCCTAATAAAGATTTCCGAATTGAGTATAGTGTAATATGCCTTTTAACACGACGTAATTGAATCCTTAATGGTACAAACAAACTGTCACCTAAACTTTAGCCCACAGTTATAAGACTGGTATACCTTTAAGCGTTCGAGCTTGCTATTTAATAATTCTTACCTTTATTCCGTCTGTAAATTTTTGAATAACTTTATTTCCTTCAAATTATTTATTGGGGAACCATACATGTACGAAAGATTAAAATCTCTTAAAATGACGTAGAGTTAGCGAGACCGAACTTCGAAAACCTTGCCACTCAGAATTCGGCTGAGTTTTTGGCATTGAATGCAGGAAGCATATGACGTGATCTTCCTCAATAAAATATTTCCGGTGCAGTTTTAATTCTTCTTATTAATTCTTCTTATCTTCAGTGTTTGTAATTAATTACCATAAATAAATACCATACGGAAAACGGCGTAATCAAGTCAGCCAAAGCTAATTCTGCAAGTTATGCTTGCATAATTGGAGTTCCGTGTCATCGGCGTCTTATTTTTAGCGTTTTAGCAGTTATAACGAAATGAAGGGAAGAATAAAGAAAACAATTAAAACGAAGTCACTTATAGCCTCTACATATATTCACATAAGTATATAGTACAGTATAATTTCTTATACATATACTAAAATCTAGGTATTTCATTATTCTATTTAAACATATTTATTTCAAAGTTTATTATGAGCTCTACATCAGCCAAATATTAAAATTGGTTCATAAGTTTTTGAATTGTTTTTTCTTACATACATACATACATATCTTGTATAAAGGTCAGTGAAACATATTATATACTAACTCAACACACATTCATACAGCACACATAGTACATGCTCGTTATACGCGGCCTGTGACGTACCTTTATGGATACAATGTTAGCAGTGGCAGGCCTCTATCAATAAAATCGCGACGCGCCCGGGCGAAATAACGCAGTCAGGGCTGGCGCGTTGGTGGCGATCGAATGTTAAACTTTTTTGCCGCTGTTTACGTAAATAGTTTTATGTAAATAGTTGTTGAAATAGTTTTTGTTTAGTGTTTAGTATATTTAATTGTAGGTAAAAATAGTTGTAAAAGTTTTAATGTATTTTAAAAATTATATAGGTATCATGTATATTACCTATTTGATAAATTATAATAGCAAAACGTCGTTCCTACTATAACTGTTGCTTAGATGGATACTAAATGAAATGACCAACAAAAGGCTTCATATCATTCTTTAAGTTACCGAAGAATTTTAGAAGGAAGTTATGAAAGGTTAAAAAATGTATTTAATTTTTTTGTTAGATCACAGCAAAAAAGAATTAAGTAATAATTTGGTCTACAGAAGAAATACCTAAGTACTTCATTACAACAATTAGTTAAAATTTACTTCACTATCCAAGTATTTACTTACATACCTGTACTTGTCTTTTGTAATTAAAATATTTTGAGTTATAATAACACAAAATACTGAATTTTGTTCACATTTCTGTTAGAAATCGTATTTCAGGTTTATTTGTTGTTTACACTATCTACCATGCAATTTGCATGCGTTAGGCATCGCAGAACTCACATGTGGGCGAAAGTATGGTTCAATCATAGTCAGAATATTAGTTAGTACTTCACCTAAGTAACATAATTAACATTTCACAATGTATTTTTTTACTTTCTATTGACATCCCTTAATAACTACGGAAAGTCCGCCGTGACAAAAAAGATGCAAAGTAATATAGACACTAGCGCGCAGTGATAAAGTTTTATTTAGCTTGCGTGTGCGATTTATCTGATTAATAATAATAATTTAGGCTATTAAACGTCGGTAAGCAGTCGACATCAAAGCAGTTCAACTTCTGTACGTAGTACTATTATTTATTCTGTGGCAGTGGCGGATTATAGCCACGTGGTTATGGCAGCAAGGTTAAAAATGGGCGCGTGCTGAAGTTTTTTAACGAAAAAAATTAGTCTCTTTCATTACTCCTCTCGTCACATATTTCATTAATGCATTGTCAAGAATACTCGTGTCCTAATTATTTTGCAACCATTTTTTTCTCTTCATTTGAATCACCAACAGATGACACACAACACTAACAAAAAATTAACTTAATCCTGCGATCGCTACATGCTGCGTGTTCATCTTCCAGGTAATCGCATTTTACATAGTAGCGAAGTGATTTGTAAAAAAAAAGAAATGATAATAACATGGTAATAACTATACGTGTTAACCGGATTTGTAACAGTTTGTAGATATAATGTTTACAGTCTATGTAATAATAATAATAATTCTACTAGTTTACTAATTAAACTATATTAATATGGTTCATTTAGAAAATTTGTAGTTATAATTTCAAGCGACAAAGCGTTTCAAGCGACAGTAGCCTAATGGCAGGACGCGGACCGCGAACTCAAAAAGGTCGTGGGTTCGAATCCGCCATTCGACTACTGGCGTGAGAGGTTCACGTAACACAAGCAATTTAAGCTTACCACGAGTGGTTAAGGGGAATATTAGTAATGTTTATAGCATTGTTAATATTTTTTGAAAAATAATAATAATACATGGACACTAGAGGGGCGCCGATGGGGTATTAACCTAGGGCGCTGTCGACATTTAATCCGTCTATAAATGTAATTTTTTCTTTTTAAATTATTCTAGTGATTTTTGGGATAACTTTACTAAACAAGTCCGGAGGCCGCGCGTTATGTAATGGCGGGATAACCCATCGTCTTGTGCGCATAGTTGTGTTATGCTAGTGATGTGTATGTTTAGTAAATGCCCTTCAGCATCTTCGGCTACATCATAACTTACCATCAGGTGGGATTGTAGTTAAGCTGGCTTAGAATATTAAAACAACTCATTAACAGCTATTTTGAATTTTCTTTCATCAATGCTGTAATGCATAGGTAGGTACATTTTTCGAAACATAATTAACAAAATTTCTTCACAATATCTTAGGGGGCTTATTGCTAATATTTCTGGCAAATTTTGGCGGCACCTTAAACCAGCAAGCAGCCAATGTAATACTAATCACTGCATCCTAAATTTTCAAGGCACCTAAGCGGACTAAATAACTCAAGGATAATACCAAGATCGGGACAATTGTTTCATCGTTTCCCATGTGTCAATCATTCATTTCTCGTGGCCGAATCATTCTGGTACATTTCGTCATGCATATAGGTACATTCGGATCGATCACTACTAAAAATAATACACACTAAAAACAATTCATTCAGATCATTCGGGATTCGGTCGGATTTTGACTCATTTTCTATTCACACTAATCATGAGTTAAAAAGGGTCCGTCAATTTTTTTGTGATTGGTTGTACCGGAATCACTGACCTCTATATATACAAGTACGCTGGACTGGCTATACACCGTGACATGATGAAGCGATTTGATTTCCGCCATTTTGGCGCTGACAGCAGAAGTGCACGTCCACGGAACTAATAATAGGGATAAGACAGTGTACCAAATTATATCGATAAAAATTCTATACCCTACCTATACCTAAATAAATAGAATGGACTCTATGGATAGATGGACTCTACCCGTAACGTCCATTCCATTTGTGTATCATATTAATATAATGCCATTATTATTCATCATCATTAAAACCCTTCACAAGTCCACTGATGAACATAGGCCTCCCCCAAGCAATGCCACAAAGCACGCTCCTGAGCTAACTGCATCCATCAACTTCCTGCGTGTCTTACCAGGTTTTGACTCCATCTAGTGGGGGAACGTCCTACACTTCACCTGCCGGTACGGGCCTGCCACTCGAGAACCTTTTTTCGCCATCAGTATTCGGTTCTTCTAGCTATATGACCGGTCAATTGCCACTTCAGCTTACTAATGCGTTGGTCGATGTCGGTCACTCTGGTTCTGCTGCAGATATCCTCATTCCT